CCCCCCCCCCCCCCCCCCCCCCCCCCCTCCCCCTCCCCTTGCCTCCCCCACCCGCTTCCCCACTAGAATCACTCCAACCACGGCGACTACTATTCCTCGGCTCGGCCGGTGCCAAATACGATCTACAACAGATTTTTTCTGCAACGCGGATGTCCGAACCCCATTGCGGCAAAGGATGCTGGATGCCGCAGATGTAGTGGGGGTGGGGAGGTGGTGTGTGTACGCCCCAGGCACATGGATTCGAGATAGGGGAGAGGGTTGAGTGGGTGGTTTGAGTGGATCATTCAGTGGTTGCTTAGGCCAAATTAAAGAGAGGGGAGGGGATGATGGATGGAAAGAAGGAGAAACCGTGCTGCTAGTTTTTGCCGCGAATATCAGCGGTGGGGAAAGGGCTCAACTGAGAGATGGACTGCAGAGGGCACCGGAGGCGGCGGAGGAGGGAAGTTGGCAGTGCATGAGCATATTTTTAGGATGTGGGATTCGGGGTAGAGGTTGGGGTGAGTGTGAGGGGAGAGGATGTGGGTTTCGAGCGTGGGAATTCGAGGTAGAAGGAAGGGGTTGAGTGGATAGAATGAATGGCTAGGTGGCGTAAAGCCTTTGACGGTTGCCTAGACCACGTAAGGGTGAGGGAAGGGGGTGATGGGTGAAAAGCAGGAGGAAGTGTGTGCCTGGTCTTTGTCGCGGATACCCGGAGTACCCGTACACACCAACCCTCTCACCCACACCCCATCTGCGGCATCCAACGTTCAGTGTCACCGTGAGGTAAGGACAACCACCGTTAGCAGGAAAAACTCTTTGCTGGTCGTGCATGGCGCCGGTCAAGTCGAAGTATAGTAATTGCCCAAACGTGTGGACATGTCTGAGTAAGCGAACACCATGACGCCGGAAGCACTGTGACGATATGGCGCAGCACCTTCGGCCTCAAACATACTATTTCGCAGTCCTGTTTTTCGCATCTCGCTACATAATTGCGCGAAAATCGCATGACTGAATAAGCGGAACAACGACGACTGAGGGAGTGACCATGGAAGGGACGTGAGGGAAATGCGCGCTTGCTTGCAGTGAGCTGTTTTGGTTCTGCAACGCACTCTGAACATTCCGACGATCAGAAACGAAGCCCGAAGCACAACTGGGCCTGTGATAACAACAGAGCCATGTGATAAACTCTACCTTTTTTGCATGAGTCCACCTCACTCTTCATGCGTTTAAGATTTTAGGCGTTGCCTTTGAGACTGTTATCTTCCCACCAATATCAATTTCCATGCTTAGCATAAGCCTAGGCTGAAACAAACCCAGGCGAACCCCGTGCGATCATGTGTTTTTGCACCAAATTTGGAGCAGTTAGGTTAACTGCGTGAATGGTTATTTCTTCACACTTACTTTGTGTGCTCAATACCGTAAATCATAAATTTTGCATAAAAGGAAATGAACAATTTCTGTTTAGTGATCGTTCTTATGCGTTTTTGCGTATATGCAAATTATAAAAATGCATATTTGGAAAAGGCTGTGTGTGTGTGTATGCGTGTCTGTGTGTGTATGTCTGTGCGCTCGCACTCTTTGTCACCCAATTTCAACTCGAGAACCAGGAAAGCTAGAAGGCTGAAATTTTGGGAGCATGTGCCCATATCATGTGTGACCCTCCCATTTTAATATCATCCCCCACGGACGCCTGGGTGCCGTGTACGGACGCTTTAAAAAAATATGCAAATTTATTGGCGGGAAAGCGATCTCGGGAACCAGACAAGATAAGGAGCTGAAACTTTATGGGGATATTTCCAATGCATGTGCTTGCTAAAAACTTCAAATTCAGCTTTTAGGTACGTGTGGTACTCATGTAAGGGCGTGCGAATGTTCTGGTGGGAAAATTGCCAACTCGGGAACCAGGAAAGCCAGAAAGCTGAAATTTCGGGGGAATGTCCCCTTTCCAAATACAACATTAATGTTTCAAATCCAGCCCTCAGATATGCGTGGTTCTTACGTATGAGCACGTGAAAGATTTGGCGGAAGAATTTTTAACTCGGCAACATGAGAAGCTGAAAGGCTGAAATTTTAAGATGCTCATTTTCTACGTGTAATTTAAAAATTCCAAATTCAGCTTCCTAGGCACATGGAATACTCACGTACGGGCATGTGAAAGTTTTGGCGGGAAAACTGCTGACTCGATAACCAGAAAAAATGGAAGGCTGAAATTTTGGGGTAGTGTTCTCTGTCCAATTACAACTCATATATTTCAAACTCAGCCCCCAGCCATGCGTGGTACTCACGTAAGGACGTATGAAAGTTTCTGCAGGGAAATTACTAGCTAGGGGTCCGAAAAAACGAGAAAGATGTAATTTTAGGGGAATGTTTCCTGTCCAAGTAGAACTTATGTATTTCAAATTCAGTCTTGAAGTATGCGTGGTTCATACGTACGGGCACTTAAAATTTTTGACGGAAAAATTTCTCACTGAACAGCTAGGTTACTTTTAAATAACGGCTGTTAAATGGAAATTATACATTACTTTATGCAAAATTTATGATTTACGTTAGTGACCGCAAAAGTTGGGTGTAAAGCATCAACCATTCATGCAGTTAATGACCTGAGTATTTCAAGTCCAGTACAGAAACGCATGATCGCACGGCCAGCCTGGGTTTGAAAATGACCTAGCCGTTCAGTAATTCCCCCACCAAAAATTTAATTGTCCGCACACGAGAACCACACGTACATGGAAGCTGGATTTAAAACCTTTAAGTTGTATTTGGATGGGAAATGTTTCCCTAAAACTTCAGTCTTCCAGCTTCCGTGGTTCCCGAGTTAGCTATTTTCGCGCCAGAAAATTTCATTGGGTCGTGAGAACACTTGGGGGCTGGATTTGATAGCTCTAAGTGGCTTATGAACATCCCTTTAAAATTCCAGCGTCCCAGCTTTCTTGATTCCCGAGTTAGCCGTGTTCTCCCCAAAAGATTTCACGGGACCGTACGTGAAAGCCACGCATGCCTGGGGCCTGACTCCGATAACTTTAAGTTGTACATGTGCTAGGAACATTCCGTGGAAATCCCAGCCTCCCAGCTTTCGTGGCTCCCAAGTTACCGATTTTCGCACCAGGAACCCTCACGGAGCCGTAGGCAGGAACTACGCACAACCGGGGGCTGAATTTGAAATCTTCGAGTTCTATTTCGACAGGGAACATAATCTCAAAATTTTAGCTTTCTAGCTTTTCTCGTTCCCGAGTTAGCAATTTCCCCGCCAAAACTTTCACCTGTCGTACGCGACGCCCAGAATTGCGTGAGGATTGGTACCGCGGTCCTGGGGTGGCGCTTGGCCAGGAAACCCACTAACAAAATTTCCGCGCCGAAACATGCTTGGTTGCCGAGTTTAAATACACGGACAGACGAACACACAGACACACTCATACACACAGACATACACACACCAAGTAGGCCTCCTTCCCAGAAATCTCGCCCGTGTTTCAAATTCTTGCTTCCAAGCAAGATCTCAGCCCCTTTTTCAATCTACAGTCCCGCTCTTTTGCCAGCGGCACGACAATCGAAACCTAACGCACGGCCCTTAGCCTTTTTGCTCCGCCTCAGCCTTCCCGCATTCCTTCTACCCAGTCATCACAATTCGCTTCCCAGCCGAGTCGTCATAGCTGTCTGTTCGCTCCCTCGTGTTGCAAGCCGTTTGTAGCATCCATGTTGATGGGTGCCGAAGTAAGGGAAGTGTATATAAAGGGAAGAAAACAGGAGAAAAATTGTAGGAAAAACAGCCGAGTAAAGACGTTTCGGTCCATTAAGTCATAAACTTCTTAGCTCAACACCACGACTGGACCTCGTCAGTATGACGGTCGCGCTGTTCAGGGATAAGGAGGAAAGGAGGGAATATAAGAGAGAGGGAAAAGGAGGAGGAAGAAAGAAAGAAAAGTGGGAAAAGAAAGAGAGAAAAAGGAAGAAGAGAAGGAATGGAGTTTATTAATTGTAAATTTAGAGCGGTAATTCCCGCGGCCTAAATCAGTATTTCTTGTCCTCCCTTTTTTTTCCCTGCCCCTACAAAGGTAGGAATACCTCAACTCGCCGTACTTCAGTGTCTTTTGTTAGTCTCTGTTGCTAGCATGCCCTGGTTTCGAACACAACACATATGTTAGCTTAGAAAGGGAATCGATTATTGGTGAAGGGTGTAACGAATCAGTTGAGAAGTTTCAAAAAAACGGCTAACCAAGGCGGAAGGAAGAAGATATTCTCATGTTGCGTGTGTGGTAGAGATGTCTAGGTTGTTTTACACGTATGGCTCAAAAACTGTTTCCATATACGTCTAATTATAAGCCCAACTGATAATTTAAATCGAATGCTTCATAGGAGTGCTTTTTCAGCAAACAAAAAATTTATCCGTTGCGCTGCTCACTGCTCAATTCCACCGGCATGAAATGGTTATGTACAAGACTAGTGAAACCGAAATAATCGGAAAGAACAACAGAGTGAGGTCATCAAAAAGTGAGATTTTCGTTTTCAAAGGCACAACACCGATGGGGAAACGGAGCGGATATGAATTAAGGGAAAGAGACCGGATCAAGCATCCGCTTAATAGTCGCTCGCAACTGCTTGTCCACTTGATATACACCATCAGACGGGGGAATATGCGGTATCGGCACCAGTAACGCTTCAAACACATCGAAAATCAGCACATAGGGCTCCTTCACATCGCCGCATTCGCTTTTGGGATACTGCAAAGTGGCATCAAAATCATGTCCAAAAATGGATACCATTCAAACTCATGCATCGATAGGCAAGGAAGAATGGTGCGCGGATAAATTCGTGGGAAAAAAAGCGTTGATATTTCTGGTAAGTAATTAATCTCCTCAGAAATATGTATAAATATAACTGTATGTGTAAATATAATTCTGTGTAAACATTTCTCTAGTTTTTTATATGACATTTCTCCTTTTCGAATAATGAGTCACTACCGTACTCCCTTCCCATATCCCTCCTTTATCTCTTTCATCATTAGCATTTCTTTTTTTATTTTTAGCTCCAATTTCCATCAAACAACTCTTTTTCATGCACTTCCTGTCTGGTGCCATTTCCTATTCTACCGGAAGGGCTCACATTGTTTCTCTTTAGGGTGGTCCCAATTCTCCTTATTTAAAAACCCCATTCTTTCAGTCGAGGTCTTCGCCTTGAATTTGCTCATCGGTCCGGCACACATAAAAGTCCTCATCGTCAGTTCTCCAACGACGCTGTCCACCTAGCCTTCACCCCCGGAACACACCGAAGAGTCTTGCTCGTCCACGTAGCCTCATCTTCCTACACTCAATCCATGGCTGTCCTATTGCGTATTGCCGTACGTAAGTAATTCACAGATATTTGTTATTTTGCTCTTGGCACTCATTACACATAAACAAACGCATATTGATCCACCGCACTTTTACTTATGTTTATAGTTGGAGTGAGCTTTGCCACTCAATAACTGAAGAACAAAAGAATTATTCGATGAAATTACCGTTTTCTCGTATTCCTCTTTGGATAAACAGTCAGTAAGAAGAGCGCGGCCCACAATCGCACCAGAAGGATAATCGCATGGAAATTCTCTTTGAGCGCTTCCTCAAACATTAAAAAAAAACAGAAATTTCATTTCAGAAATAGTCATAAAACATCAAAGAGAGGTAAGCGTTTTTCGGGCAGCCAATCAAGAAAAGGAATGGCAATTGTTAAGCGTTTTTGCAAATTCTCGGTCACTTCACATAGGCTTCCTGCTGAGCCCATGAAGGGATCTGGCTTATAAATGACATGAATCCAGTGAACTTTTGATTTTGCAAGATTACACCTCCACGAATTCGGAGAGCGTCCACTCGACTTCACTCCCGATTCTACACTTCTTTAGATTCAAAATTATTTCTAACTTTGACAACTACGACACATTTCGGGCGTATTACTATAAAGGAAGGATTACGTGGTCGATTCCTAGTCATAGTGAACGCATCAACCGCTGGATGGCTTCGGTTCCTTCAAATGAAATGATATAAAACCCGTGAAGCACGTTAAATATCAGCAGAATCGAGAAAAAACAGTGGCGGCCATAGAGGGTCTCATAACAAATGCTTTTGAAATGATTTTGTACTGGAAAATTTGGGAAAGTGTTGCAAAGGGAAAAAAAAGGAGCAAGAAAAAAGGAAGCGAAGTTGGAGGCTCAGTCCCCTTCGCCTTGTCCAGTTGCCCTTCGGTTTCCTGTAGTATGTAAATGCCCCGTCTCTTGGCTCGAGTCCCCCCTCCGTGATATTTAATGTGATAATTGAAAATGAGATGTGGAGTGTGTAATTACTGTTTTTTTTTTGGGCGGCGGCTGAAAGTGTGCGGCGGCAGCTTGGAGCTGCTGCCGCTTGTAAATCCTCACGTGTGTCCGGTGGCAGCTTGGAGCTGCTGCTGTGCGATTTCCGGCTAATTGCTGTTTTTCTTCGATTTTTTTTTTTAATATTGCTCCAATAAAGAAGCGTTACTTGGTGTCACACTCCTCGCTAGCCACGCCCCTCCCAACCGCAGCTTCCCAGCTCCAGCTCCTCGAACGTTACAAAAGGTCATTGTCCCTCCTCTCCTGTAGGCCCTTCTGGCCAACAGAAGGTACCTAAAATCAAAAACTAGTATCACGTAGAAACTTACGGGCCGGAAGAAATTGGCGACATATTGCAATTTCGTGCTCAATCTCATCCTTCGTTGCAGTCTTACCCTTTGATGCGATCAGAATTGGCCCTCTGAGATCGAGTTCTTCCTTCCATGGTAAGTGCCTGCAAAAGCAAACACGTCTCATAATGCACCGATAAGAGTTCACGAACAAAAAAGCAGACTTTCTGTATCCAAAAGCTAGGAGAGTAGCAACGGGCTGTGCCACTCCAATCGCATATCCTTTTTTCGCCACTGCCGTATAAAACATTTCGTTACTTAGCATCATAAGAGCATCCGCTTCGTCCTCTTCGTCACTGCCCGACAAATTTTTACTCCGAAGGCCCAATTTTTCATCATACTGGAAATTACAGAAAAAATTAGCATAAGCTAAGGCGTATATGATTTAGTGGACCGAAACGTCTTAACTCACCATTTTTCATATTCATTCAAAAAACTTACTTCGCCCTACGCCTTCGCTTCCTAAGCTACTAGGATTTACTTGTATGTTAAAATCAGCTTAGTGCGCGAGAAGAGAAACATGTACTGCGCACATGTCTATTATTCTTTAATCCAAAAAAAAGCAAGAAAGACAAATAATAAACTTCGCCAAATGAGCGACCGGAAATCCCAGCACAACAGACAATAAATGGCAACGCGCACCAGACTAGCCGGTGCGACCATGCGTTTTGTGCAATTCAACCCATCGAACGATTGCTTGTTAATGATTTTCACTGTTTTGTACTTTAATCTATGCAAAAATAGTTCAAACATTGAAAATTAAAAATTTCACGCATCAGCGTATGAAAGCTGAATTCGAAACCTTGAAGGATGATATCTTTCCGTGATTTCCGAGTTAATAGTTTATCCGCCAAAATTTTCACGAGGCCGTAGATGGCAACCGAGAGCGCGAGAACGCTGAACTTGAATGGGCAAGGTTGAGCGTGGGCAGGGGATCATTACCCTAAAACTTCAGCTTCCTAGACTCCG